GTGGTTAATCGGTGGATTGAATTGTGGTGATTATGTGGCATGTTTAGTGGCTAAATTATGTGGGTGCAATGATCGAATTGTCGTGGCGGGTGTGGGTGAAATTGACGTTTGATTGGGCCGATTGAGTGTTGAATTGGCGGGTTAGTGTGATGAGTTTGTGATTGGAATTGGAGTCTATGATTGATTGATGGGCACGTATGTGGCTGGTTTGTCGTGGTGCTTGCGAGTGCAATTTGATGCTTGATGGTGGCCGGTTTGTGATGGATCATGGGTTGAATATGACTGGGTCAAATGTTGGAATTGTGGGCCATAGTGGCAAGCACATGACTTGAAATTGAATATGTGCAATGTGTTAGATTGATGATTGTGCAATGTGGCTAGCTTGTGATGCTTTACGAATTGAGTTTGATACTTGCATGGATTGATTGGGATGATTGGCATGGAATCGATTGAAGCTTATGACGTGTGTGCCTGTCCAAATAACATGAGGCAGGATAGACCTGATGCGTGTTTACGCGGGTCATTGGACAAAGCTCGGATTGATCGGAGGGCTGAGCCTGAGGCGCAGTAGCGGGGGCTGTAAGAATGAGCCTGAGGCGCAGTAGTGCGGGCTGTGAGAATGGGCCTGAGGCGCAGTAGCACGGGCAGTGCGAAAGGACCTGGGAGGTTGTGAGAAAGTTGGCTGGACCACGCATGTTGCAAAGTGTTTGATTATGGAGTGAATACTGCTAGGCATGGTATGGGACATGCCTAAGTGGTTTTATCTTATAATCGAGACACGCGCGAGTGTTGTTGTATGATGCATGGGAAATTTCCTTGTGTGCTCTGAATATGAGTTATGCTGGATGCATTAATATGATTTGACTATTATATAGAGTAGGCGTGTGAATGGCGGCGAGGTATGTATGTTTATGTGAGTTCTAGTATGTCGATTGTTAGATTGCATGTTGAGACTCGTCTGGGTACGCATTGGCCTAGGTGGGGTTTAGGGTGTTACTTATTGAGACTCGTTCTCACGGTTATTATATAACCATTTTCAGATCCGCGACCGTGATTAATTGGAGATGCCACCCAGGTATCTCGGGGATAGAGGACGGGTCAAGTTACTCCATATTTTGTGCGCCCCTCTTTTGTATAGCGAAGTAGGATATCCAACCACTGTTCCCTTTTGATGTTGTGTGGTTGGAGTTATTGTTTTGTGCTACCCCTTTGTCATTATTTATTGTCTGGGTTATTTAATTTCGCTTCCGCTTGCCTTTATCGTTGGGTGTTTCGTTTGGGTCGGCGACGCGTCCTGGGACGTCGCATTCAATACGACCGTCGAAGGGGTATCACGAGCCCGTTGGGGTTCGGGGCGTGACAGTTTATTATGAATAGAGCTCACTTGCTTTCCCAACAATACAATATGTATACGAGTTAAAAAGCTCTATCTATGTCATTATAATGCCGTCACTCCGGAAAGCTAAGGGAAGAAATTGATAAGTGAAAGCAAGGAGGGAGCAGAAAGAATATGGATTGTACAGATTGTGTCAATACATAATCGACTTATTCGAGGTACATTGTCACGCCCCGAACCCTATCGAGCATGCAACACACTTCTCTGGTCGAATAAAGCGACGTCTCGGAAAATCGCCGACCTAATTAAACTTATCATAAATTTATCAATCAGCGAAAGCCACAATCAATACCCGGACAATAATAACTGGGGTAAACAGGGGAGATTAACCACATCTATTACTGATTCAAACTTATACAATATCCATAATTTACACACCACAATATACATGAGCACACCGAACTTTTACTCTATAAATCACAGACATTGAAAAAGATCAGTAGCCTGGGTATATCTATCACCAAAAATGGTACGCTTCAAAAAGCCTATTCGCAACCCCTACACTAGCCCCTACGTCATCTGCTTGGCGTCCACTCCAAATCTGATTCCCTCTGAACCTCTGGCTCGTCTGTTGGGCACTCTACCACGTCATGGTCGGTGTGCATCGGTATCCCAAAACACTGCGGTGGCGGAGGAAGATTCATTGCTCAGGCCGGGGTTCTGAAAATGTTGGTTGAAACAACCATGAGATCACATCTCAATAAGCACACACCCTAAACCCCACCTAGGCTATCACGTACCTCCAGACAATCACAACACACAATCACATTCAACCATAGCATCGCAAGCACACAATTCTGCTTACCTGGGCCTTTCCAGCGTGCAACCTGCACGTTAGGCATAACAGCACGATTTCACTCACATGCATGTTATAATTATATTTCGTGCATTTGTTCCAACCTCATCACATCTTTTCCACAACTCTCGCCAGTGACCCGCGTTATAGTACACGCCTCAGGTTCACTGCGACCAACTCATCACAACACTCCAGGGCCTGCGTTACAGTACACGCCTCAGGGCATGTCTCTTGCCCGCGTTATAGTACACGCCTCAGGCTCAACACCTACCACCTACGGCACAACCTGCGTTGAAGCACACGCCTCAGGTTGGCAGTCTTCCGGTAATAACGGGCATCGTCCCGCGTTAAAGTACACGCCTCAGGACGGCACAATTCCCCACGTAATGGTACCGCCTCAGGGATTTCCACAATCACGCATGCCACACCACACACCATTTCTTACTCATTCACATGCTCAACACTCACATGCCAACATATTGGCCATTCACACTTGGCCCGTGCACGCATCAAACCACGCATTTCTCATGCTCAATAAGCATCCAACACGGTCAATTGACAATCAATTCAATTCGACCCGAGCGTGCACAAAACAAGCACATTTCAATCCATCAAATCACGGTACAATAAACACACAAGGCCACTCACAGGCCCACAAACACAGCCACGTTCATAGGCATAAATTCGACATTTCCAAGCTCATTTCCAACCATATTAAACACCACAATCCAGCCACACTACCATACACCAAACCGACACCATTTGTCCTTAATTCGAGCCCTAAGCTCGTCAATTCCATCCCACAACGTTCGACACTCTATTCAGTCTCACTCCAGCCCCGAAACATCCTCATTTCATCCTCAAATCAACTCATATAACACACATTCAAGCATCAATTCTAGTCATGAGGGCAGCAACTATTCAACCTCGACACCCCCACCATTCCGCTCATAAAAATGAACATCCATAGAATCAGGGTAAATCTGGGTAGTTTACACAGTAACCAAAATCCCATCACAATAAATAGTAAACGAACTCCAAAAATTCTAAATTTTGGATATATCATAAAAAACATCTTAATAAACATTTCTTACGAAGAACACGAAATCCGGTTTGTCGCGACCAACCTCACGAGGGCCGAACTCGAGAAGGCGGGTTTAGAGATAAGTGTTCATGAAACGGCTCATATGGCACATCATAAAAATGATTTTACTGAAGCATAAATCTTTTGGTTATTCATATGGCCCATTGATCATGAACGTGGATTTTCCCTAAATCCATATCTCGCGTGACAGCAGATCGATTTTATTTTTTTTAGGAGTCGCCACTAGCCTAGGTCGGGGGTCGGCTAGAATACCCAACCGAAACGCGGGAGTTTCGTTTCGGTTTCTACGAAACTCAAAGATCATGGGTTCGGGGACTAGCTTACATTAATGTTTTCACTTACGCCCTTTCGGTACTGCTAAACTTAACATGGTTGTTATCTAAGTTGTTGTGCATTTGTTCTTTACCATTTTCATGTTAAAGTCTTAGTTCACTAGGTGATCATGCATCTTGTTTTTGTATTTTCATTTAAGATTCTAAACTAATCCTATCTTAGTCTAGAAAAAGAAAGAAACAATCAATTGTATTGAAAGACATTTCGTAAAGTAAACACTTAAAGTATTGAAAAGACGATCTAATTCTAAGTGCAAAAAAGTAAAACCCGCAACTCGTCCGGTGTTTATTACAACACAAATTGAAAACCCGAGACATGATCGGGGATGAATGAATTGCATACAAACTGAAACCGGATCGAACATTGGTCTATCGCCACTGTCAAGTGAATACAAATTGAAACCGGATTGGACATCGGTCTATCGACTTGGTCTTTTACAATTTTGGATTATCCCCTCCATGGACCGCCTCTCGAGTGTGAGCGTTTAGATTCACAACATACATTCACGACAAACAATGCACAAAGGAACAACCAAAGAAAAGCAATGGCGCAAACAATTCACTAATCAAACACCGGCCTCGTGGTCAGCCTTTGCTTTACATGCATTTCGATTCACCCACCCTCCTAATCATTTAACATTATTTGATCAATGGTTAACGATAACGGGCTACCATTTGCATTCACAAAACGGCAACTCATATCGATTAACCCCTAAAGTCGGGTTTTAAGTGACCATAATGGGCTACCTGCCGAACATACATCGGGCCTAACATACATCTAGCAAGCACATGCATAGCAATGAAATAAGCATACATTCAGGCCCATGAGCCTTATTTTTCAACCAATCAAGCAATGAGAAGTGGGCTTCATAAGGAGACCACCTATTCAGTTATTATCTAATTCGGATTGCTTCCGTTCAGATATGATTAACTACCCTAATGATGTCCAAATGAAGTGATTTAGGTGTCATTAGAAATATTATGACATGAGAATCAAAAGTCAAGAAGGATATTTTTCCTAAATCCTTTCCCTCGAGTTTGTTTCAACTTTTTAATTACACTATCTCTCTCCCTCGAGGAGAGATGCCGGAGTGGGTTCTCCCTATTGAAGAGGATTCCATATTTTTCATGACTTCAAATGACTTATATGACAAGTTTTTTGGATTAGCTCTCTGTGTCACTCTCGATAAGAATAATTATGAGGAGAAAATGAAAGACTCATATCATTTTGTTACCCATGTTAATGGCCAAAAGGAGGAAAGTTTTTCATTCTATTACACACCGTTGGAGTTAAATCATATCAAACTTCGTTATCTCACACCCCTGGTGTTGTGGGGAGAAGTCGATTTTGGTGAAATTGACGGGAGTCATGCACAATTTAGCCTTGCAGTATTCGGTAAATACATAAAAAAGTGAGGATTCCGAATATTTTGAAAGAAACTGGAGGATGATCTAAAAATCATGCTCCAAGATGATCGGCTAATCGATCCAGCTTTACTTTACGAGATTGATCACGAATCAATACGTTCGGAAGTCGAGAGTTTATTTATGCACGAAGGTGGTTGGACCAAAAGAGATCTACAAGAAGACCTTGGTTCGATCGAAACAGCTCTAGAGGAGGACCTGCAAGATCATCAAAGGAGAAACGAGAGAGATGAACAAATAGCACCCAAGAGAAAGCATGGGCTTATTCCCGCTCAAGGCAAGCGAATCAAGACCACGTCGACTTCCGATTCGACCGATGGAGAAGAGAATGATCAAGAAACTTGCGACGGAAGCAATTCGTAGGTAAGTGAGCTCCCAGATTTTTTCTTTTCTTACTTGTTCTTCTCGTTTTCTCCTCTTTTTATCTCTTCTTCTCTGTTTTTTTTTTTAGATTTTCTCTCTCCACCGATGCCACTTTCAGCATCACGACTCCTCCTCATCTTCCTCCATCCGACACCACCACCGATCTCTGACGAAACGGAAAATCACCACCTGCCGACGGAGGCGACGAGCGAATCGACGGCTACGGAGACCGGCGAGTGGGAGGCGACGGACTACCACCACCGACCGAAGCCACGGAAACTGAAAAAGCAGCTTGGGGTGAACGATTCTCTCTTGAGGTTTTGGGCTTCATGCAAATTGCTATAGATCAGCTCGATTTTGAATTCGATTCGCATGGCGCTACAATTGCGCGGGAGCTTGAAGAATGTGTCCGTGAATTTGTTAGAGAGACGTTGGATAAGGTGCTTCTTCGTAAGTTTAGTCTGGGGATGCTTGGTGGTGAATTCACTGGCAATCGACATTACACGCTGCAAAATCAGCAACGATCCCTAGAAGGTATTTCTTTTCTCTCTTTCTTTTGATAAGTAGCAATTTATTCGAAGAAGTAGGTGAAGTCTAGGTTCAATGGGAAAAACAAGCAGAGGGAAAGTGAAACAATGGGAAGTAGCTTGTGCATGGTTTGGTTTAGTTCGCTTTTCAGGCGAAAACTGAGCCAATCCGGGTGCTATAGGTTGGGACTCCCTTACGCGAATCCAGGCATTGCAGCGGACAACCAGCCACAGTGGTGTTAAGGGGGGTTTGCTTTTGAGGTGTCTAGGGAATGTGGATATGTAGTATGTACAATTCATACAGATGTGCAGCGGGTAAAAGGTTTTCCAGGACTATTGAATTGAGATAAACTTCGATCGCTGGGATAGGGCTCTATCTCCATGTTTTATGCGGCGCTTGAAGAGGCAAAACCATTCAGTAATGGAGGAGATGCAGTGAGATGGCAAGCCACCAGGAAAGGTTGCTGGACAGTTGAGTCCTTTTACCACTTGTTGACTTTGGCATCTACGGAGAATTAAAAACCAAATTTACTTAGAGCATGAGTTGTGCCCATGGATAACCTGGTTAGGTGGTTATTTTCTTTCTCCTTGTGGACTGTGGGTATGAAAAAGAAAAAAATCACAAGAAACACGGAGTTTACATAAGTTATTCAGTAGAATAGAGACAAAAGCACGAATAGCTGATTGTCAATTCTGATTTCTGAGGCCTTTGCAACAGTTTAGCGTTCACTTTTTATGCTTATGTGCTATAGCGTTTATGGACGAAATTGACCTAGAAGCTAAAGCTCCCAGAAGCTTCTTGAATGTTTGAGTGAAACCTAATTAATGAAAGAAAAGCTTCTGAGGTACCAATGATAAGAGTCACTGGAGTCAGCGACATGTAGTTTCTCAAATTAGTTGCTGTTTTTGCTTGAGTGTTGTTAAATCCATATCAGTTCAACAGTTAGGTGGGATTCGCATCTGAATGACAGGATGAGTATGTGGTAATAACCATTGCTTGGAATTTGTGACCAGTAGATTATACAGGACCTGCAAGATCTTGATCACATAGCTATGAGACATGCATTCATTTGATCAGTAGCTACGAGACATGCTGAATATTTCTACTGGTAGCAACTTGATGCTGATTTCCTCTTGAATTATTTCTGACTCTTATCCTCATGATTTCTTTTCCTAGCCAGTAATGAGACCTATTTGCTTTTCGTATATAACGCAAAGCTTGCTTTCGAAAGCTTGAAGTTCCAGTTGGGTAAGAAACTGATTTTCAGTAACTAGGTGCATTTCAGATGTGTTACCTTATTTTCTAATTAAGATGATTTGTATTTTAGTCTAAATTAGCGAATGGTTTTCAATAATATATCTGAACAAATCTGTTAATAGTGGAATTTTGCATGCATAATTAGGCTGTAAAGGGTTTTGTTCGCATTATTCTTTCATAAGATATGACTAAGGCCAACAATAGCAATATTCTTGCTTTATTATGCACAATGTGTTGCGTTTTTCATTTACCATTGTGCTCTGTCTGGAGCCATATTATGGTCTTTATCTGTTTTTGTGAAGTTCCTGACATTGTTTTCTTAGGCTGTATGTTAGCTTGACTTTGGTATTCTTACTTGGTATAAAAATGCACTGTGAGCATTGTATTTGTCACGCCCCGAACCCCAACGGGGTCGCGACACCCCTTCCACGGTCGTATTGAACGCGACGTCCCAGGACGCGTCGCCAACCCAAATGAACTACGCAAGCGGAAGCGAAATAAAACAACCCAGACAGTAAAATATGATGAAGGGATAGCACAAAACAACAATTCCAAATACACAACATTAAAACGGAGTAGTGGTTGGATATCCTACTTCGCTATACAAAAGAGGGGCACACAAAAATATGGGGCAACTTGACCCGTACTTGATCTCCGAGATACCCTTGCAGCGTCTCCAGTCACTCATGGTCGCGGATCTGAAATCGTTATATAATAAACGTGAGAACGAGTCTCAATAAGCAACCCCCTATACCCCATGTAGGCCAATGCGTACCCAGACAAGTCGTACATGCAATCTACCCCACAACATATAAAATTCACGTCATTGTACTTACCTCGCCATCAAACGCATGCTCTGCACGTTAGTTAAACGTGACAATGCAATATTAATAGTCTAATAACATATCACAATCACTCAAGCACCAACCACACTAGCACTCAATCAATCCAACCAATTCAATCACACATTCAATCGCCGGTCAATCAATTCAATCACACTCAACTCGCATACGTGGCCGAACAACTTTCCACGACCTCCCAGGTCCTTTCACACTGCCCTCGCCACTGCGCCTCAGGCCCAATCTCACAGCCCGCGCCACTGCGCCTCAGGCTCAGCCCTTAGATCAAGCCGGGCTTGGTCCCGCGTAACCACGCCTCAGGACATTTCTCTTGACCTGCGTAATCACGCCTCGGGTCATTACTTGCCTTTCTAGCCACCCGCGTAACCACGCCTCGGAGTTGGCAGCCTCGGATCAAGCGGGCTCGCCCTGCGTAACCACGCCTCGGGACATTTTCTCGACCCGCGTAACCACGCCTCGGGTCATTACTTGCCTTTCTAGCCACACCCGCGTAACCACGCCTCGGGTTGGCGACCCCGAGATCAAGCGGGCTCGGTCCGCGTAACCACGCCTCGGGACATTTTTCCTTTCCAATGACCCGCGTAACCTACGCCTCGGGTCTAACTCACCTTTCACGGCCGCGTAAACACGCCTCGGGCTCGACCCTCCGATCGATCCGGGCTTTTCTCATGCACATGCACCACAATACAAAATTCACCATGTTCTTAGTCATATAAATCAATTTCAATCACCACCCATTCACCAATGTCAATCTAGCACGCCACATCAGTCAACTCAATTCATGCTCCCGACATCGGCCCACCGACCTGACATTCAAGTCGGCACATTCAATTAATCGAATTCACCCACAAGCGCCACGACAATTCGGTCAGGCATATTTATCTCGGTCAATCACTAAATCAGCCGCACAATTATCGCCATAATAATTCACCAATTAAGCACAATCAGTCTAATTAGCCAACGCCTAATTAAAGTCCTAAGCCGGTACTAAATTTCACCCTAAACAAGTCTAAAAATACCCAAAGTACTAGGTAAGGTTTAGGAAGTCACTTACCTAAGTTTGGCCCGGGAAAAGTCGGCTCGGGCCCAAAATGGCCCGGGTGAAACGATCTGGGACCCGGGCGCGGCCTTGAGCAACGGGCGCGGTGGCCGGCCAACGCGGGCACAATGGCCGATCGGCGTGCTGGCGCGCAGGCGCGATGGCGTGCGCGTGCGAGGCGCACGGGGCGACGGACGGGCGACAGCGCCTGGTCGGATGGGCGACAGCGCACAGTCGGACGGGCACGGCGCGCAGCAGCTCGGCCACGGGCGCGGGCACGGGCGTGGCGGCAGGCGTGGGCACGGGCGCGGGCGTGGGCGCGGCAGTCGCGTGGGCGGCAGGCCAAGCCACGGCACTGGGGCGGCCAGGGCCAAGAGGTAGGCCCCAGTTAGGCAGAGAGCGGCGGCAGCGGCGGCCGGCGGCAGCGGCGGCGGCTGCGGCACGGCGGCGACGGCGGCGAGCACGGGAGAGAAAAAGAGTGGCCGGGGGTGAGGATGAGGGAGAGAGGGATCGAGGCGAGGGGAGGTGGCGAGCCGCGGCGGCAGGGCGGCGCGGCGGCTCGCAGCGGCAGCAGGCCTGGCTGAGCCGAATCAGCGGGCAATGCCGGCGAACCGCGACAGGCCGGACGTGGCGAGCTTTGGATGTCGCTCGCTGGCAGCGGCGGCGGCAGTCGGTGCGTCGGGGAGCAGGGCGATAGCCCGAGCACGGCCGGCAGTGGCCGGGCTGGAGCGAAGCGGAGGCGAAGCACGCGGCGGGCTCGAGCTGCAAGCCGGGCGCGAAGGGGAAGAAGAGACCGGCCGGTCGGGCAATGGCAGCGGGCGATCTGTGGCGGTCGAGCTAAATTGTGACTGGCGGCTGGCGTGGCGCCGGCTGTGATCGAGCGAGCTCGGGCGAAGCGAAGTAGAACCCGGTCGGGGCAGGGGAGGAAGAAGGAAGAGGAAGAAGAAGAAAAGAAGAAGAAGAGAGAGAGAAAGGGGAAGAAGGAAAGAGGAGAGAGAGTGTCAGGGGTCTGCATGGGCGGAGACGTGCGCGACCAGATGGGAAAGAGAGAGGGAAAGAAAGAGAGAGGGAGAGAGAGAGAGAGAAGGACAGACGTGCGCGAAGGGACGTCGCACGGGAGTGGGTGGTGCGGCGCAGAGGAGAGAGGAGAGAGAGAGACGGAGAGAGAGACTCAAAAGTCAAACCTCTCACTCAAGTGCGATCCGACGGACACGGTTCAAACCCAAAAATGATCTAACGGTCACGAAAAACCCCAAATAATAATATAGGACAAAGGGCTAAAATAAAATAATCCAAAACACACTACGAGGGAGGCCTACTAGTCCAAATTCGCACCCGGTCAAAAATCCACTTTTCACACATTCCTGGCAATAGCGACGCTGGCCACAATAATATCGACACCGTCCAATTTATTTCGTCCCGAAACACCCGAAAATCGACTGCCAAGTTCAGGGTCTAAATAACGGCCAAATTCGATCAAGTGCGATTCTAGCGAAATCTCTAATTTAAAATGATAACCGGGAGTGATCAGTTCCCGGGCGAGATTTTACTATAAGCACACTGACAAATTACGCGTTTTATAAAACCCAAAAATGGGCCGAAATTCGGGATGTCACAACTCTTCCCCCCTTACAAAAATTTCGTCTTCGAAATTTACAATCCAAACCCGACTACTCAAACAATTGGGGGTACTTGTTGTCGCATCGCCTCCTCGCTTTCCCATGTGGCACCTTCCGTCCCGTGATGTTCCCGAGATAACTTTAACCAACGGAATCGTCTTGCTCCTCAAAACCTATTCCTTCCTGTCCTCGATCCGAACTGGCTTCTCCACGTACGACACCCTATCGTCCACGTCTATTACCACATGATTCAGCACGTAGGTCGGATCCGGTTCGTACTTCCTCAACATCGACACGTGGGAGACGTTATGAACTTGCGACAAATTCGGCGGCAAGGCGAGACGGTAGGCCAACGTCCCAATCCTTTCCAAAATCTCGAACGGGTCTATATACCTTGGACTTAGTTTCCCTTTCTTGCCAAACCGAGATAGTCCCCTCATTAGCGAGATCTTAAGAAATACATGGTCGCCAATCGAAACTCTAACGGCCTACGCCTTCGGTGCGCGTAACTTTTCGACGACTACAGGCTGTTCTCAACCTTTCCTAGGATAGCCTTTCTTGTTTTCACCGATTGCTGAACTAACTCTGGACCCGTTATACTTCTTTCCCCACTTCATCCCAACACAATGGTGTTCGCATGCGCCCGCCATATAGTGCCTCAAACGGTGCCATTCGATACTCTGT